TGGAAAGCCAGAAGCCATTAGGAATGGTAATGGGGCGGGGTATGTATACACACACAGACACACGGTCCCCGCCCCGCCCAAAACCATATATATATATATATATATATATAATTGGTGATCATATGTATGTATGTATGTATCTCTCTCTCTATCTATCTATATCTATGCCTATATATATAATTGGTGAACATATGTATGTATGTATGTATGTATCTCTCTCTCTCTATCTATATCTATATATAGAGAGAGATACATACATACATACATATGATCACCAATTATATATATATATAGATATATGTGTGTGTGTGTGTGTGTGTTTGTGTGTGTGTCTGTGTGTGTATACATACCCCGCCCCATTACCATTCCTAATGGCTTCTGGCTTTCCAAGGTGGGCGATACAGTGACAGCCTTTAAGCTATTTTTGGTGAAAATTTTGGAGAACCCAAATCAGCTGTCAATCAGTCACTTTTTGGGCTGTTTGCAACTTTGCATCAGCCTCTTTAGATAGTTTAACCCCAAGCGCCTAAAAAGCAGCTGAACCAGCTTAACTGAATGTTCAGCTCAGCCCTCCTAAACGGGGCCTAAGTCATTCAGTGCATCCACTTAGCAGTTACCAAATAGCCTCTTAGCCTGAACACTTGGACCACCACCTCCACCATCTTATCTTTGGAATTTGCCACTTTTAAGTCCAAGAAACAAGCTTAAGGAGACAAGTTATGAGCAGTAAGCTGACTAAAATGCATGTCCAAAAAACCAATACATACAAAAGTGAAGAGAAATACATCTTTGTTTCTAATATGCATTTTATGGCCCATCATTCATTCTTCACATATCTATCTCCCATTACATCTACCACCAACTCCAACTGGACAAATCTCCCAACAAGACACCCATGCAAAAGAGAGAAATTTATCCAGACCAAAAGACAATCACCTCCAAAAACCAAGCAGATGTCTTTCCTTCTTCCTCCATCCCCAGGAATGTCTTCTCAAAGCTAGTGAACAATCAATTTAAATGAATGCTCCAGTGAACATCCAAACATTTTTTAACAGTGACAGAGTCTTTATTTCCATTTTCACGTTTGAATTTATTAAGATTTATTTGTTTTAAACATTTCTTTTCATTTTAGATTTCCTTTTTCCCACCCATAATAAGTTTAACGAACAGAATCAGAGCATATTTTTTGTGGCAAACAAACCAGTGAACCACGAGAAGGAATTTACTTGACTACTTTCAACTCTAAAAAAACAAACCTAGAAGATTGATTTTGATGCAGATTATTTAGTAAAGACACTGATTGCAAAATTCCCAAAGCAACCACATCTCATTGAAGAGCTGCAACAGGTAAGAAAAAGAAAAAGGAAAAAAAAGAGGGAATTTTGTATTTTTCAATCTTCAGTCGGTTGCCTAACAAGGATTCATCCAACCAAAGCAGTAAAGAATATAGTGAAGAAGGCGTGTCAGATATGTATATTATTCTTAAGGCATCATATTAATCATGCTTTCCAGGATCACCATCCCCTTGTAACTTCTCATTTATGCCACTAGCACAAGGTCCATAGCTAAGTTAGAGGTTTCAGACTTTCAGTACATATTATATCTTGTTACATAAAATTAAACACAGTACAACAAACATCAGGATAAGTTGCAGGCTCTTGAAAAGAAACAAATGGATATTATGTTGAAAATTTTGAAAATTAAACTGGAGGGTCATTATGCCTTTCCTGGTGAATGTCTTTTTATATTGACCAATAACACAAATACTTTTTATTGAGCTTAGTTGGTACATCTTTCAATTGATGAATTTTCTATTTTATTTTATTATTATAATCACAAAAAATAAAGAATACAAAAGTGTTGCATAGTAGTATGTATAAAATAGATAGGCAATTAAGCAAGACCAGCCCTCCATGGGTGATCTATCCATAAGAGCATTACAAGAAATCTTTTTTTTCGTTCATTTCAAAAACCAATGAATTAAATAAGATACAATGATAAACAACCACATGCTGTTATCTGGTAAACAAACAATAAGCTAACCACCTAGGTGACATCTTGACAACAATGTAATGAACCCATAGTACAACAAAGTGATCCTATCGCAAGGGCATGACAGAAAATATATTTCCATTCATTTCATGAATCAACAAATTAAAGAAGAGACTATGATAAGCAACCAATGACTACCAAATGCTGTTAGCTCACAAACAAACAATCAGCTAAAACTAAGCATATGTAAACCAGTGGAATTGATCAAAAAAATATACAAAACTAGTGGAGCAAAATGTATTTAAAAAGCTTCAGACATAAAACTCTTCCCTTCTGAGGAAGGGCTTCAGACGGCATAACCCCAGTTCTTTGGAACAGAGAAGCCCAGAACCCACCATCCCACCCTCACCCTAATCACAAATATTTTTCTTTATGAAACCCAAAAAAATGTCTAAATGCTATGTAAAAAGCTTCTATTTCACAAGAAAACTTTAAAATTATGCATACCATGTTCCGGAGCAGAAGAACACGAGTGGGTGGGCCATTGAACTTCACGCTCTTCATCTTCTTCTCCGGTCTAGATTCACTAGCATTCACAATTACTCCAGCTCGTCGATCTGTCTTCTTGGCCATCAAAGGAGTTGTAATCCCCTGCTCCTGCTTTCCAAGCCCCTGCCCTTCCTTCCAACCCATCTTTGCCATCATTCTTTGCGCTGCAGTCATCTGCCCACCTGCACCAACACCTAGTCCACCAGATCCTGATTTCCCAATAGTAAACCCATCACCATTAGATGGAGGAGAAGGTGACCTTGGCAGTGGTCCTCCCAAGGTCCCACTCATTACTGCCCGCCGCTTCCATGCTTCCTCCCCAGAAATATTCAACAATGATGATCTTGACTCACTGTAATCCCTCTCCCTTTCTCTTTCAGCTGCTTCTCGCTCTCTTTGTTCCCGCTCTCGCTCTCTCTCCTCCTCTTCCTGTCGCCTTCTTTCTATCTCCCTCTTCATCTCAGCCTCTAAAGCTCGCCTCTTCCTCTCCCTCCTATACTCCTCGTAATCGTTAGGCCTTGCAGGGTCATACTCCTCGATGACTGTCGAAGTTACCCCAACAAGAGCAGGTTGAAACGATGGGCTTCTCACTCCATCATCAGGTAATGCCGATGAAGTCGCAGCTGCAGTTACGGTCTTCGCTTGGGACGAAGTAGCGGCTTTCGCTTTGTTCTGTGACTGTTGGGCTTTCAGGACCGAAGCGGGTGGTGTGTAGAGAGAGCTGGGCTTTCGCAATGTAGCCGGTGCCATCTTGGCACTGCTTGACCACACAGCAGAGTTGCTGCTTCTCTCTTCATCCGCGGAAGGTGCCGAAGAAGGAGGAGGGAGATCCCCATACAAGCCACCAAGCATTCTCTTTTCTACTCTTTATTCACCCCTATGTTGAACAACTACTACGTACAGAACGTCAAGCAATGCAAGCTTCTAGACTTCAAGCCTCTTCTTTCTGGATTCACTCATATGGATGAAACCGAGTACGGAATATCACCACAGAACCGATTAGGGAAAAAAAATCAAGCAAACAAGAGATTCTCCAATAAAACAAACAAAAATGTGGAGGGACTCCTCTCGGGTCGAGTAATCGAATCAAATAGAAATTTTAACATTTCTAGGGTTAAGGTTTGGACCCAAAGAGAGTGAAAGATGGGGAAACATAAAGTTGATCCAAAAAACAGCATATCGGGATCAATCATATGAAGCGAAGAGGAAATTTTCGGTGAAAATAATGAAAATTGTCATCGTTTTAATGATATAACCTTTTATAAATAAGGGAAAAAGTAAAACAGATAAAATATTAACGTACCGATCTTCTGCAACTACGGAAAAAAGAAAAGCCACAGTCGCCACTCGCAACTCTTCCCTCAAAGCCTGGGCGCGCACAGATATATAAATAACCAAGTTAACTCCTCAGTGAGCATTGAGCAAGGGTGCGTGGCCTCGGCTAAATGTCATTAGACTCGTTACCGCGAAGGATCAAAGCATCCGGGTGGTAAGGTCTAGCGGAGAGACGAGACTTGGGATCGACTACCGCCCAGGGGTGAGAAAAATAAAACGGAAAAACCGAACCGACCGAAATCGAACCGAAAAATCGATTAACCGATTTGGTTTCGGTTCGATATTTTTAAAAACCGACGGTTTCGATTCGATTTCGATTAACCATTTAAAAAACCGGAGGTTAATCGAATCGACCGATATATATACAGTAATATATATTTATAAAGTATTATATATATATATATATATTCTTTATTTTTTTTTTAAATCAAACCGAAAATTTTCAAGAAACAGGTTGAAACTCTGCAGAATGGTGACTACCGGTCTGTCTTTTCAAAATTCGAAACTTTCAGTTTCTCTTTTTCTCTCGGTCTCTTTGGTTAATCGTTGACTTGACTCAAAAAAGAAGATTAAACTAGTTTACACTATCAAAACACGGAAATAGGTAAGAAAAAGAAGGCATTACTTTTTCTGGATCTTCAAAACCCATCACCCACCTCCATCTTCACTAATTTAATCTCCACTCTTCCGCGTGTGATGGGATAATTAACTTTTGTCTCTCTTCTCGGTTTATCGTTTGTTATCTCCGCTACGCAACCCGCACCAATCACCAACACCAAGCGRCAATGCCGGTCGTCGCCTTGCCGATAGTTTTCAATTTTCTTCTCGACTTCTTGCCTGTCATCTCTGCCGCGTGGCTCGCACTAACTACTAGCACTAAGCAGCAACGCCAATCGCAGCTCCGCCACCATCTCTGTAATTTGTATCTCTCTTCTCTCTCTCTCACCTCTCCTCTCTGCAGCTCCGCCAAACACCACCTCAAGCTTTCACTGTGATAACCTACAGGAACCTCTGAAAATAACTTTGTTACAAGCGTCATGATTCAATGTAGTATCTGAACTGATGGTCGGCAACGATAGGAGAATAACAGATGGCCGGCACCAACAACAACCATCGGTCAACTGACATTTTTAGATTTTTTTTTATTTTAAGTGCATAAAAAACCGAAAAACTGAACCACAGTTAACTGGTCCATCGATCGGTTTGGGTATTTAAAAAAATGATCAAATCGGTTCGGTTAAGTACCGCCTGGGTTTGGGCCGATAGGGGTTTGTAAAATAAAATAAAATTAAATAAACAAATAAGTATATTTATTTGTGAGGTGGGATAAATCATAATTTGAATGTGCAAATCATCAAAACCAATTTAAGATATATATTAATATTTTATTAAATTTAATCTTTTTAATATGAGAAAGTGGGAAAATTCTTATATTTCTCAGTTTAAAATAACTGAAATTGTAAATTTAAATCTTTTAAAATTTAATTTTCGAATAACACCATTGCAATTTTTAAATTTAAATCTTTTGAACCGATCGATCAAATCGATAAATTAATCCAAACTAATATAACCCGAATTAGGTGGTTTTCACTAATGATAGATTAGTTTTTATGATCAATTTCCTAATCCGATTATGTCAATTCGGTTGGCCAAACAACATACAACCAAACTAAACCAACCCATGAACACCATCTCTCAAGTTGCCACCTTAGCAAGGTCCTCTCTCCTTCACTATTTCTTATCACACATTTATTAGGAAAGTTAATATCAAATTATGAATAGTCCATAGCATTTCTATTATTTTTTTTCAATACATGTGATTCATACGTGTTCGACCACCAATGGTGTAACCATTTAGCTCACACAATCTATTATATATTTATCTTGCACTAATCATCCTCCAAAAGCAAATCCAATTCCATAAATGGCAATATTTGTGTTAAGGAATTGAGATGTTGGAGATAAGCACTACTTGCAGTGGTAAGTTAGTCAAAACTATAAAGTAGAAACTAAAAATTACAAGATGTTTTCCATTATTTTTAGCAAAGTTTTTTTCTTTTTTTTTTTKGGGGGGGGGTCTTTTTGGCAAAGTTAGATTACCATGGCTACAGTACAACGAGTACACCAAAAAATTAGAGAAAAAAAAAAGACCAAGAGGAAAAAATGTAAAAAAAAAAAAATTGTTCAAAACTTTAGAGGCATTTGACAAGTCTTTTTAGGAAAATATTCAAAAAACTCAAAACCTCAAAAAACGGATGAGCTTTTATAGGTAGAGTACACCAAAAAAAAAGAAAAGAAAAAAAAAAGACCAAGAGGAAGAAATGTAAAAAAAAATGTTCAAAACTTTGAACATATTCAAAAAACTAAAGACCTCAAAAAACGGATGAGCTTTTGTAGGTAGATTTTCAAATAACAAAGACCATTTGGTTGCAATTTTTTAAAGGTCTTTTCAAAAGTTGGAAAACTCTTTAGCAAGCATTCTTGTTGGTCCCTCTTATATACATGTAAAATGTTACTTGTTGGTCTCATTTATACATTTACATACACAAAGTAATAAAATAGGGCTCATTCATGCATTTCCTTATTGGAGTCCCTATTTACACATTGACATATGCTATTATTATTTACAGGTTCCACTCACGCATTCACCTATTAAAAAAATCACTATAGGCCCATTTAGCTCACCACATCACAAACAATACTTCACTACATGCATGAATATTTTCTTTCTAATAAATAGTTAATCACAACAATCCAATACATTCATAAAATAAAAACACAACATATTTCAAAAAAAAAACACTACTTATGTTGTCCATCTTCTCCTAATATTCATTGGCCATGAGCAAATAATTTTAAAGTTGTAATGATATTCCATGTACATATGATTCCATCTCATATTAATTTCATTTATTTGTATGCTTGGAACCCAACACTAATTATTGTTTGAAAAAATTTGTAGAACATCCCCCCTTATCTTCAATTAGTGTTTCTGTCTTAAAGAAATCCATCAAATATTTATCTTGTGTGTGTGACAAAATAATAAAGTTGTGCAACACAAAACATGCAAAAAAAATTGAATTTACTTATACATTATATATGATAGCATCAACTTTGATATTGAAATTCTTACATTTAGGACGTGAAAGCAACATTCTATCACATTTCTTAATGAACAATGTACATAATTGTATTGTTTTTCAACAATTTTAGGACAATTACCTTTTTTTCCCTTCAAATCCTTGAACTAGTATATTTTAAAGTGAAAATTTGACAAAAACCCAAACATGCTTACCTATATTAAATCAACCACATAGAATTTTCCTATATTGAAAAAAAAAATTAATTTATTTAAATAAAAACATTAAATTATAATTATACATACAAATAGTTATAATTTGCAAATCTGCAATGGGTAAGGAAATAAGTTTATAAGTTATTAAATTGTTTGTCTCTAATAATACCCTCAAGTTATTAGTCATTTCATTCTATTATACCTTGACAAATGTGAATAACATATCAAATGAGCATGCACATATCACGTTTTGATTTAATATTGATTTTTTTCTTCAAAACAGAACTTAATTATTGATTCACATATATGCATGGACATATGTGCCACCTATTGCATCAATACAATTATGCAAAAAAATATACAAAACAAATATTTAAATGCAATTTATTGAAAGTAATTATTATTAAATAGTGAGAATTTTAGGATTATTACCTTAAATAATGGTTAACACTTAGATTTTCTCAAAATATTAGCCAGAACAACATTAAGGTTCTTGGTGGATAATTTCTTTTTTATATTTACATTAAGCCTTGATTTCAAAATAAAAAATGTCAAAATAATGTTATTCCTGAATGTTGAAAATAATTTGTATGTCAAAGTGATTTATTATATATCATCCCTACTTTTAAATCGACATATTGATTATCTTTGGCTAAATATCTTTATATCAAATAAATTAACAAATTGATAAACATGTTTGGGGGCAATCTAAACATTTAAATACACGTTTTGCGTTTGTTCAAAATGACATTACACAAATAACTTGATTTAATAATATATCATCATGATAAGTTGTATTGAGAATAATATTGTTCTGCTTATATGTTAATGTATACAATAATCTCAACTAAATATATTTTAATTATTCTTTATCTTATAGAATTACTACAACTATATGCAACAAATGCTCCCAACTTATAATATCATTAATTMCTATTAAACACATATCAATACTTAATGATCATAAGAAATAATAATATACAATGTGACTAAAAAATAGTTCATTCAATAAGTTATCTATACAAAAACAAAATCCATTCAACAAGTTGCATATGAAACAATCTTCTACAAAAAATAAAGTTCAACATGTCTAAGTGAATGAGGTAATTTTAATTGATCTCTCGTGCCTAAAATTGTCTATTTGCAACCTCACTAATACATATTTTCATAAGTTGAAGTAGCAACGTTAGATACCACTTTATTGCAGATGGCATTTAAAATACTTCATAGATTTTGTAGTAGTCTCAATACTCTAGTCTTATTAGGTTTATATATGCTATCACACTTGCCATAGAGAATTTTTCCATTCTCTCAACTATTGCATTCATTACATACACCAATGAAACCATCATCTTGTTGGCAACTTCAGTAGATTTTCTCATGTATCACTAATGTACAATGCCTTCTTATTTCGATATTCCTTCAAAATATTTTGAAGTAAATGTTCAACAATATCAATAGTAGCATCATCACCTTCATTAATTTGAGGACGTGAAACATCTTCAATGGATTGCTTAATTTTGATGTCATTTGCTTGAGATCTAGAGATGACAACACCACATGTGCCAACGGGATATAAACCAATCAGTAAGAGTTGTCCCCCTAAAAATTGCATTAAGATGATAATAATCTACAAAAACTCGTACTGTAGAGCCTCTTAGCCTTAGAGTTAACCTAACAATTAAGATAAGGGATATAAATTATATTCAAAACCAAGTTACAAATAATATAAGTCCATTATAAAAATATTGTAAGTTATAATGCTAAATACTTGTCCCATTCCTTGATGATGCTATGACCAAAATGTTTTTCTTTTTTTTAACCAAATCATGATTGTCCAAATCCTAATTTTGAAAACTCTTTATACCTATACTTTAAATTCTGAAT